ACAGGTTGCACAGCTTCTTCTGAATTAAGTAATTTTAAGTATCTAAGGTTTGTTGGCAAATATGCTGACATTTGCATTCACTACATTTTCCGCACATAGATTTTCTAAATAGAAAAGCCTTGTTTCCAGCCAGAGACCCTCTTGACCATTCCCCTCACACAACACCCTATTTTTGTTACCCATCTTTTTTTTTTTTTTAATTTATGTATTTGGTACAGGGTCTCACTACACAGCTCAGACCCACAGTAGCACTGGGATTACAGGCGTGCGCCACCACACTCGTTCTTGGGGGCTGGCTTGATGTGCTGCTGGTGCAGCCGGCATAACGTGTTACCAGGGATAGAACTCAGGTCTTCGAGCTTGCCAGGCAGGCGCTTAGACCACCAAGCTATCTCCACAGCCCACTCCTGTCTTTCTGTACCTACGGTTCTGTCTGGAATCAGTCTCTCTCCCCTAGAAACCACTTTCTTATCCTGTAAGAAAAAATTCAAAACTGGCACCATGACTGACTATAACTCCATCACTTGGGAGGCTGCGGCAGGAAGATCACAATTGTAGTTCCACCTGGGCAGCCCTGTCTCAAAAAATAAAGATGGGCTAGGGAGACAGCTCATGACAGAGCCCCCCTGAGTTGGACCCTGGTATTAGACAAAAATAAAACAGAAAGCAAACTCAAGTATGATTGTTTCCATGAAGTCTTTTCTAAAGCTCCCATATGAAACATTAGCTGTTTCCTCTGTAATGTCCTCATAGTGAGGATAATAGTGCGTGTCACACCAAACTGTCACTCTGCCTGTCCTCTGGCATTCTGGGCAGAGTCTTCAGAACCTCACACCTGCTCCAGCCTCATCCACTGAGGGTACCTTCTCCCCACTCATGCCACCCAGAGACAAAAGCCTCTAAAACATCGTAAAGGACAATGAAGATTCACCCAGGATACAGCATGCCTGCTGGAGAGCAAAAAAAAAATTCTCATTTTTTCCCTAAGCCACAGAATTTTCACTTCAGTCTTAATAAGTAACATTCCACAAGGTCTAAATATAATTGTCATCTGATGCTTGAAACTATTTAAGGCATATATGCATCCCAACTACAGCCTTGGTGTCCTTAAAATGTGTAACAAATGTGTAGCTCGAATCCTTTTTGAATCTGATTTACTGAGCCCATCCAGGCTGTGGCTCTGCTCTGAGGCAGATACCACCCCAAGGCACTCAGCTCATCGAGGCAGCTGCGTTCGGCCTGAATCCCTGCAGGGATCGTTGGTCTCAGGCAGATCGGTTCTACCTGGGGAGAAATGGTAGCAGCAACGAGAAAAGAGAGACAAGAAGACAAAAGCTGGGCTAGGTGGTCGCTGGTCTGCCTGATGGGCCAGACTTACATCACGCACAACAACGCAGTCCTTTATTTATACCTTTGCAAAGTTAGTAACATGTGACACAAGGATGACTAGCGACTAATAGCTGACCTTCACCAGACAAGATGCTTATCTCAGGACTGAGGTAGCTTGTTTGCTTTAGGCATTGAGGCCTAGTCCCACCCACACACATCTGATCCATTTTCTAGCTTCCTGGCTCCCAACAAACCCCAGGCGCTGTTTATCCCCCTCTAAAGTGCCAGTCACACTCTTTGGAATCCTGCCTTCTCTCTCCATAAACTGTGCACGCAATCAGTGCATACTGGTGCACAAATTAGTCTCTCCTGGCTGATAAACTATGCTCACATGCTCAGCTAAGCATTTTGACATTTTTCTCGATCTAGTGTTCTAGGCTACATTCAATCTCCAGGTAGAAGTCAGAGAAATTATCTGGATGAACTTGACCCTGTCCTCGATAAAGGTTACATTGCCTCATTTAATATGATTTGGGGTTACTTTTTTTTTTTGCAGTACCAGGGATTGAACTTAGGACTCTGCGCTTGCCAGGCAAGCGCTTATTCTACTGAGCTATCTTCCCCGGCCCTACTTATTATTTCTGTGGCACTGGGGATTAAACCCTGGTGCTTTACACTGAGCTAAATCCCTTTTAAAAATTTTGGCACAGGGTCTTGTTAAGTTGCCCAGCTGGATTTAAAGTCATGGCCCTTCTGCCTCAGCCTTCCAGAGTGATAGGATTAGAGGCATGTGCCACCATGCTGAGCTGATTTTGGATAGTTAAGACCACTCTAAAACTGGCTGAGTTGTTGGGTTTAAGCAGTTATAGTCAAAAGTTACTTCATTCTGACATCAAACTGCAGTCATCCAGTACCTTATTCTTTTTTTTTTTTATATTTATTTATTTATT